AAAAAAAAAAAAGGATCAAGAATAAATGAGCGAGGGTAACACGTATGCGGTGTGCGAGTGTGGAACAACATCTGCTGCAGATGACTACACGCTAAGCGATAGATATAGATCTCTTTCTCTCTCTCTCTCCCCACACACTCGTCAGATGTCTTCCTTTCGGCTCGACGCCGTACACACCCGCACGCGCAACAGTCCCAACCGCCCACGCGCCAACACACAACTACGAGCTCGAGTTTCTTTGGTTTCAATTTCTGCTCCGCCTGCTTCATCGGTGCCGTGACTCATCCTGTTTCTGTTGTCGTTCTTGGTCGTGTTGCTGGCCTCACTGCACCGCGGCATTCCATGGCCGCCGCTTCATGATGAGCGACTCGTCACGGGCAGCGATGAGGCTCTTCACCGTGCCGATGCCCTTCGTGCGGCCCTCGCGGAAGATGAGCTGCTGCCCAACCTTCATGAACTCCGGGCGGTAGAGAAAGTGAAAGCGCACGAGTGAGCGGTCGCCGGTGCGTAGGACCTCGCGCGCGACGTAGACGATCCGCGCCGACTGCCGCACCGTGGTGGAGTGAATGACCGGCTCGTAGTTGACGAGGATGGTGGTGGAGTGGTACAGGATCGTCACATCCGCCTCGAACTGCCAGTACGCCTTGACTGGAAACTGCGGATCGGCGAGGATGTTGCCCTTGCGGATGGCGCTGCGCCGCTCCTTCTTGAGGCAGAAGGCGGCGTCGCAGCCGGCCAGCGCCTCCTGCTGCTCCACGCCCTTCACGTGTATCGACTTGATGTGCACCGTGCGGTACGCGCCGAGGCCGTCGGGGCCGAGCAGAACCGCATCGTTCACGCGGAAGACGCCCTGCGTGACGATGCCGCCAACGACGGTGCCGACGCCCGTCACGAAGAAGGTGCTGTCGATCACCATCTCGCGTGGCAGCGCACGGGCGGCGCGCCAGTCCTTGCGCACCGGCAGCAGGTTGAGGAAGCGCACCAGATGCGGCAGTCCATCGCCAGTGACGTTGCTCACCTCGAAGACGGGCGCAATGCGGTCGCCGCGCAGGTTCTTCGCGCACAGCACCACGTCGTCCACGCGGCGCACCGGGCACGGCAGCTTCCGCACCGTCGGGATTTTGAGCAGCTTGTGGATGCTCGCCAGCGTCTCCTCGCGCACGTTTGCCGGCGTGGAGTCGATGCGTGTGACGATAACGAAGAAGGGAATCTTCAGCGCGAGGCACAATGCGAGGTGCTCCTTCGTCATGCGCTGGATGCCGTTGTTGGCGCTGATCACAACACATGCGTAGTCCGGCATGTTGCGCGTCATGCCGAGGACCGTCGTCTTCAGGTACCGCTCGTGCCCGGCGAGGTCGTACAGCGTGAGGACCTTCGCGCTGTGCGCCACCACCTCCTGTGCGAGCTGCCAGTTCGTCATGCCGCCGCCGCCGCCTCGCTTTAGCGAAGCAACGCCGTAGTTCACCACCTCGCCGGTGGAGGAGAAGCCAAGGTGATTCTCGCTCACGCTCGACGTGCGCCCAGTCGAGGCCTCGTGCTTGTGCTTAAAGACAAAGGTCCGTGCGAGGCCACGGCCATCATCGCGGCAGCCACGCGTCAATACCGACGTAAGCGTCGACTTGCCGCTGTCAACGTTGCCGCACATGGCGAGGCGTAGCTCAATATGCGGCTCCGACTCATTCTGCCGCAGCAGGAACTCCTGCGCGACCACTTTCGCCTTGCTGTTACCACTGTTACCACCACTGGCTGTGGTGGTGCCGTTGCCACTGCTCGACACTTCACGTGGCTCTTCCACCACTGCGCTGCAGCCCACGTCAATTTTCTTCGCGACCGACTGCAGCTGTGCCACGCGCTGCGTGAACTCCTCCATGCTGTCCGCAGACACAACTATGAAGCACTCACCCTGCCCTTCTTTTACGCTCTCCGCGACAGCAGACTCACTGAGGTCTGTGGCGCCAGTGAGACCAACTTTCGTGTGAGTCGATGACGGCGGTACCGACATGGATGAAAGCGCAGACCCTTGTGAACCCGCAGCTGCAACAGCGGCAGTGTTGCACGGGTCCATGTGGTGCGCCGCACTGCTACTGTTGCTGCCACCACCAGCACAAACCCCAGAGGTGCTTGCTGGCAATTTCTTGCGGAGACTGTTCACCAACGCGTCACGGTTCTCCTTGAGTGTATGGGCACCCTTCTTGGCGTTGAGCGCCTGCACGAGGAGGTGCAGCTTTGAGTGGGGCAGGCTTTTCAGCTTAGTGGTGGCACCGCCGCTGTTGCTGTTGTTGTCGTCCCCGTGGCTGCCTCTTGCACCCCCACCATCGGCAAGTTGCCGGAGGCGAATGAAGTCCGTCTTGACGTCCTCACTTTGACTATCCCAGAAGACAGCGATGAGGAGGCACACCACATTACCCACAGCAGCCTCATTCCTGTCGTCGCTACCACTGTTGTTGTTGATATCATTCTGTGCTTCTTCGAGTGCGCGCAGTGCGGCGTCATAAAAGCGACTGTCATCCCCGGAAGTAGCGCCAACGTCGACAAGCACGACGCGCCCAATGGGTGGCGCCAGGCACTCCTGCACCACGTCACGCACCCACTGCCCCAACTCCAGCGACGCCGGTTCCGCCAGGATGATGGAAAAACACGTCGTGTTGCTGCTGTCACTTCCAGTTGCCATGACGACCTCCAATTCTATGCCCTTCTTTCACGCCTTTATATGTGCGTAACCAAATTTCTATATATCTCTTTCTCTCTCTCTCTCTTCGTGTGTATACAGATATATATATATATATATATATATATATATATATATATCTG